GAATTGCATCCTGTGAGTGGTCCAACTCTAGCTGAATTCCAGGATGCAAGGAAACCCATGCAAGCCAGGAGCCATCCTGCTTCTTCTATTAACTGCATTTCAGCATTTTATTAAGAGCATTTCACATGAAAATAGGTTCCGTCTGCTTGGGACATATTGGATCACTCATGGGGTTGAAGATGGCAGGCGGCAAGGGAATGGTATTTTCTGAATGGGAACTTATCAGCGCATTTCTGCCTAGGCGCTTCGTTATCAGCCCTGCTATTTCAGTAAGCAGGAGTGAGGCTGCCCCTGAACCTTTTGCCAGACACGGAGGAGACTGGAGAGGGGAAATTTGCTGGAAAGCTCAGAGGGCTGCGGGAGCAAGGGAGAGGTCTCTGTCGTCATTCAGCTGGGAATCCTGCCAATATCCCGGAGGGTCACCGAGATAGGGCCGGTCCTCTGGAGACGAGCTTGATCTGTGGGTCGCGCCTGGGTCACCCAACGGAGCAGGACGGGTGAAAAACTGCACTTCGGCAGAGATAAGAGCGGAGAAATGGTCGGCCAACTCCCACGGTTGCTTCGGCGTTGCGCGGTTGCCCGGGGGATGATGCGGCGTGGGCACTGGCGCGAGGCTGCGCACCGCTTATCTAAAAGGGGTCCTTGGTATTTTTTAAGATACCCATGGGCTGAAAGATCCTTTTGTCAATTTAACATGCTGACTTCCACTAGAATTACATGCTTTTTTTCTTCCTTTGGCAAGACAGCTTACAAGGGTCTCCTCCCCCGTTTATCCTGACAACAACCCTGTGAGGTAGGTTAGGCCGAGAGGCAGCGACTGGCCCAAAATCGCCCAGGGAGCTTAATGGTTTAGCAGGGACTCGAACCCAGTCGCTGGGTTTATTTTATTTATTTATTTATTAAAACATTTCTATGCTGCCCCATTCACTGAAGCCTCGGGGCGGCTCACAACATAAAATTAAAATATAATACATACAACATCCTTGCTCCCAGTTCTGTGCCATGCATCTTTCCAAAAGGTTTTAGGCAATTCACTGTGAATTTTTTTGAAAAGAAAAAAAAACATATCCATAACTCAAATAAAACCCAATATATTAAGCATTTATGTTTGGAATGAAGATCACTTAATTGAATGCTTTTCCTAGCCTCCTAAATAAAGATAATAGTTTTCCTCTCTTACATAAAAAATGCTGCGAACATTTTTATTTATTTATTTATTTATTAAAACATTTTTGTGCCGCCCCATTCGCCGAAGCCTCGGGGTGGCTTACAACAATAAATAAAAGTAATTATAATATAAATTTAGCAAGGAAAAGGAAAGCCAGCCTGCTTTGCTCTTCACATAGTGTAAAGTTGTGAAGAAAAGGAGGAATACTTCATAAATTTGTATCTGGTAACTGTTAAATTCCTCAATTCTACTTCACAATCTTGCGGTGTGGCCTTGTGTAAGCCAACATCTTTCCGCCTCAGTTCCCATCTCTACAGAACGAGTTCATAATATTGGCCTAACCGGCAGTGTTTGATTATGGCAACAAACCTATACAGACTTCAGTAGGGCAGGATTCACTGAACTCAGCGGATTTGTGTGGAATAAACTCAAACAGGTCTGGCAGAATTCGAGCCCGTGAAATATGCTCTGTTTTTCAGGTTTACCAACTGAAAGTCAATGCAAAAGATTCACACTTTGGATTACAGAATTCCGAGCCCAGGAATTCATTCTGAGTCCCAAAACTGAATGGTACCCACGGACCTTCCGTACAAAACTCCGCTTTTTAGCCAAAGCTTCCTTCATTTCAACAGTGAAGAAATATGATTCACCGTTCAAATGCGGGGATGAGAGACTGATTTATTGCTGCTTGTTTCAAATGCAAGGGAATCAGAAACCTTTCTTGATTCCTAAAGATCACCAGGGATCTACCAGGGGATCATCCAGATCGATTTTCTGCCCACCCCTGCTTGGAGCGGCTACCTGGCAAAAATGTGACCCAACAAGGAGGCCAATTTGCACAATGTGCTGATGCCAATTTATTTAACAGAAATGCAAGACTTCTCAGCACAGTGGCAGAGCAGGTAATTCATATTCCTCTTCAGTCTGCTGCTTTCTGGGTGGCAACCCCAGGGCCCATGCTCCACTTTCTTTCCTTGTGGTCCCCCCGGTAAAACTGCTCCTTGTTCAGAACCCAAGGCAGGGACCCCTCTGCCCTTTGGGGACAGGGCTGGGGCTGGGGGCTGCTTCCTAGAGGCCCCCAGAAGGCCGCTCCTCGGCCAGATTTCCTTTTCCGCCCCCCATGCCCCCACTGTGCCAAGACTGCCGCCAAAAACAGGCCTTCGGGGGCCCATCCTCATTTGCTGGGCTCCCCTCCAGCACATTCCCTTATCTCTTCCCCCCTTCCTGTTTTCCTCCTGAACTGGGCACATGCTGAGCTGTGCAAAGCTCCGTCGGCTCCCCGGCCCATTTCCTCCTGGGATGACTGAGCGCCTTGATATGGCCACCGACAGGGAGTCTGAGGACAACGTTCCCGGGAATCCTCCGGCTGCATCCCACTGGCCACCGGCAGGACCCCGCAGGAAGGGGAGATGGTGACATTGGTAGAAAAGCCAAACCGTGGAGGTCAAAGGCTTGGGAAGGCCTGGAGCATCTCTGCCTAAAAATACGGACGGAGATAAGTTCGGGACACAAACAATAATATTTAGGGGAAGGTCAGAGGGGTTTCCTCGGCTGCTTGTCCGTCCTTTGGCGCCGTGGTGGTTCCTTTCTTTCTCAGATTCATTCCAACCAGCCGGTGCTGAATTGGTGTTTCTGTCTTTCAGACAGCTGTGCTGCGGAGGAAAACAGGTTGGAGGACCTGGAGGAGAAAGGGTGGACGCCAGGACAAACACACCCGATCCAAAACGGATGACCCATGAGGATCCTTGGACCCGATCCAAATCAGAGATGGGTGTAAAACAAGCAGTGTGGCCATTCCTGCTTTTGCCCTGGGGGGGGGGATTAATTTTTTGGAGTGTAAGGAGAATGTGGGTGCTGACTTCCTTGGGTGTAATGCAGCTGACCAGGGCTTCCTTGTGAGTAAACCTTCCTTGGAATGAGAAGCAGCTAAACAGGAGCAGCAATGGACTCTGAGATCAGTTCTTTTACGCATGCAGTCAAACTGTGATGCTAAATATGTTTTCCCAAAGGCTGAGTTCAGTGAGGATCGTGACCAGGGCACTGGGCAAAGCCTGCAACCTCAGCCCCACCGTGAAGTCATCTCAGGGGTGGCGCAGCATGGCTGATTTATAGACCGTCTCTTCCGTATGCTATTGTAGCTATTTCCAGTCTCTCTGTCCTGCAGTTTGAACAGCCCTTTCCCATGGGCAGAATTTGGATTTAAGGCAATGCAGTCCTAAACATATATTCAACAAGGATGTTAAATCGTCACCTACCTCCCCTCCCCTCCCCTCTCCTCCTCACCACCCAGCTGCCAAAGCTGTGTAGTTAAAAACCTAAACAACCATGATAAAACTTTATACACACACACACACACACACACAAACATACCTGAAGGAACATCTCCTTCTATATGTGCCCGCCTGCCCCTTAAGATCTGGGGCAGACACCCTTCTCCAGGCGCCCTCCCTGAAGAAGATTGGGGGGGGTGACTTGGAGAAGGGCCTTCTCTGTGGTGGCACCCCAATTGTAGAATTCACTCCCCAGAGAGGTTCACCTGGTGCCGTCACTTTATTCTTTTTGGCATCAGGCCAAAACCTTTTTTTTTATTTTTCTATGTTTTAAGACCTGACTGTTTTAATTGGGGTTATATTATTAGTTAAATTTTAGGACAATGTGTTTAATTTTTTATTTTTTGCATTTTGTATTGTTAAATCGCCCTGAGACTTAGATAATGGGATGGTCTACCAAAATTTTAAATAAATACAATACAATACAATACACAGGACAAAGAGAGACACAGTTCTTTAAGAGCAGTTACGAACAAACAAGAACAGATTCAGGAGCGGATTAAAAACTTCATCCTGTGCTGCCACACATCCAAGAGAAGAAAACCTTAACACGGTATGGACAGGATAACAAGGCTGGCGCTTCACGGGCCCCATGGGAGAGACCACGCCATAATTCTGTGGTCAGAGCATCGACTCTATGTGTCCGGTGTGCACTGCGCTTTTGGAACAAATTCGGCACACGCTCGCAGCCTGCACACCCGGCAGAGGCAGGTTGGGCCTGCTCCCTCGGGCTGCAGCACCAAATCTCTCCCCCCCCCCGGAGGCCTTCTGCCCTCCCACGCTGCCGCTTGTGGCGCCTGCTGGAATAATGAGTGGTCCAGAGAGATCTTGGCAGCATCAGGAGCCCCGGATAGCCCACCCATGGCCCACGAGGGGTTGGCCCCAGCTGCCCCCTCCCTGAACAAGTCTGCTTGCGGGTTTTCCCCCTGAAATCAGATGTCCTCCTCTTGTTCCCCCATAGCTTCCAATAGCCTGAAGTGCCTGGCCCAGCCTCATCTTGGAAGCGAAGTATGGTCAGGCCTGGTTGGAATTTGGATGGGTGACTTAACATTGTAAGGTGCCCAGAGAGCTCTGGCTACAGGCAGACGGAAATGTAATGAAGGGTAGTGCGCCTTTTTAGAAATGGAGGTGTCCTTAGAAGATTGGCTCCTTTAACGGTACAGAGAGACTTTACAGCAGGGGCCATGGACCAGTATCGGAACCAAGCGGCACAGCGGGAACTGAGCAGTGGGCCAGCAAGCGAAGCTTCATCTGTGGTGCTGGCAAAAACAGATTATCTACAGGGCCCTTCTGGGGCAGCAGAGCTGGGCAGTAAGTGACATGGAGAAGCCAAGCAGGTGAGGGAACCAGGAAGCAAGTGAGGGCAGGTGAGGGCTGGGTTGCAGGTTGGAGGGAGGCTCCCATTATTCTGCATTATTTATTTATTTTATTTTATTAAAGCATTTTTATGCCGCCCCATTCGCCGAAGCCTCGGGGCGGCTTACAACAAAAAATTAAAATAACAACCTGAACTGATTGCATATATTTAAAATGATAAGAATGAATCTGGTTGTCTTTAATAGCAGAAAACAGTTATTAAAACTCACGTGGCACCAAATCAGTGCCACATCTGTCGGCTTCTGTCAGAAAGCCACATGTTTCTACATGTGGCAATAGTTCATCTATCTGTATCATGACCCACAACTTTCTTTCAAGGGGTGCCATAAAATAAACAGAAATAGTTATACATTTGTGACTCCAGGTGACAAAAAGAAGTATTTCAGTGGCTCCAACAGCAGTTCTCAACATGTCCAGTTCCTATTAGAATAGATCTGTGGCGAGATGCATGATCAATCTGCACGCGTGCTCCTTCCAGGTACATACTCCTTTGTCATCTTCAGTGGTATTTTCGCCAGCGACTGTGTTTTATGTGTTTGTAGCTCCAGGTGTAGCTCAGGACACAGTAGCCCAGCAGCAGCAGCAGCATTGAGATTCCAGCCACACCACCTTTCTTCACATTGATGTACTTCTTGTAATATCTATTCCAGGCTCTGCATGTTGCTCCAAGCACCCCCTGTGGAGACAAGTTACAAGTGGCTAGCCAAGCAGGCATGTCTTGGAGTTTTACATCCATCAAGCGCCTTTCTGCCAGGGGAGCTTGATGGCATTATGGTGAGTTGAATAATTATGCATTAGATATTACGATGTAATAATAATAGAAATAAAGTGCACAATGAATGGAATGTGCATGAATCATCCAAAACCATCCCCCACTCCACGGGTCCGTGGAAAAATGGTCTTCCAGGAAGCCGGTCCCTGCCGCCAGTCAAGGTTGGGTGCTGCTGCTTTCTCGCTTGCTTGCTCGCTCGCTCGCTCGCTTGCTTCAGAGCCACAGGGAAGGTCTCTCTGCCGGTATGCACATCATCCCAGTTACGATCAAAGCCGCCCTGCCTGCTCCCGCCCATCCTGTCCAACACACGACACCCCCATCTCCCCCCCCCCCCCCCCGGATGGTTTGAAACAACGGGGAAGGGTAGAAGAAACAAAATACATCTCGGTCTGGCAAAGCCGACCTTGGCCACTAGATGGCACTGCGAGCTAACATCACAGAGAGAAAGCGCCTTATCCTGCTGGTCCCCGACTACTATTCGCAGCCCTGACCAGTTTTGCAAGCTTCCGTGCTACACGGAGTTCTTGAGCAGTCACAGTGGAAAAGCAGCATTCCTGGCTGGAACAGAGGAAGCCAGGTCATTGTAAAAACTCCACATATTTACTTATTTTATGCTATTTCTATCCTGCCTTTTTTCTTTCCAAGGACCTCAAGGCAGCTTATATAATTCTCCCGCTGTTCTCCATCTTATCCTCATAACAACCACCCTGTGAGGTGGGCTGAGAGTCTGTGTCTGGCCCAAAGTCACGCGGGGAGCTCCTTGGCCATGTGGGAACTAGAACCCGGATCACTTGAGTCTCGGTCCTTATCCAGTCCTTATCCACCTCAGTGCTTATCCACACTGGCTCTCAAAGGCATTCACGCAGTCTTTACTAGTTCAACCAAACAGGCATGAATTTACGCATGCCATCTTTTAAGCTCTTTCTACTGAGTAAGAGGTTATCAAATAAAAAATGCTTTGTGTGGGATGGAAGTAATTTAAAATCTGCCTACACAACCTCAACCTCGAAAATGCAGTTTCCTTGCACAAATTCATCTATGTCATTCCACAATTGTAATCTAGCAAAGGTGCAGAAAAAATGCTACTGAGCCACTGAAAAATTGTAACAGAAACATTTGAAAATATTTTGCACTCAAAAATGATAGCTGATCAGCCTATCTGACAAAGTTGACACTCTCTGGTTTGCATTTCAAAATGGTGCTCATGAACTAGGACCTAATTTGCAGTTAAGTGCCATAAACAGAAGCCTGACTGTTACCTCACACAGTTCAACGTTTCTGAATGCTGTAGATTTTTCTTTTGTAATTTTTAAAAAAATGTTTTCTTAAAAGAAATAAAATACAAAGAAAGAAAAAAAATGCGAAAAAGAGATTAGAATGCCACAGGATCTTACACATATATAACATAATTTCATAACCTTGCAACTTCCTGAAAAACAATGATTTGTCTTTCTGTCAAACAGTACTTTGTTGAAGCTCCTAAAAAGTTAATTACAGCTCTCAAAACCAGTAAGTTTTCAAATCTCTTCAAGTCAGTTATAAATGATTGTGTAAGATGTACACAAAAAGGTGTTTTAATAATTTTCCCAGTCACTCTTGCTTTGCTTTGTTTTAATTTTTATTTTTTTAGTCTTTACTTATTGTTTCATACAGTATTACTGTGGATGGATGTTATTAGATGTTTTAAATTGTTTTTAAATTGCTGTAAGCCGTCCTGAGATATTTATATATGGAACAGCATACAAAAGTTTTCAATAATGATGATGATTATGACGATGATGTACATCAAATATCATTTGAATTGTTAAAACATATGATCTGGCCAGGGCAACTTCTTCTTCCTTCTCTTTTCTCCTCCTATATTTTTATTTACTTATTTTATACTGATAATTTTAATTTTATATTTCTAACTCAGTGTATTTTTTGTATTTTTGTATTTAATGGTAATTTATTATGTTCTATTGTATTTCAATGTATTTTATTGTGTTGTAAGCCGCCCCGAGGTTTCGGCAAGGGGCGGCATAGAAATGTTTAATAATAATAATGATAATAATAATAATAATAATAATAAATATAAGTAATCAACATTATTCTTAAAGGTTCCATTTTGTTCTATATTAACTGAACTGCTATTAATACAATTTTCATTTATCATTAAATTCTTTGATCATAATTACATGGTCAATTTTGCCATTGCTGCATAATCAGCCAATTTATCTTTCCAGTCATCAATTGTTGGAAATTCTGCTGTTTTCCATTGAGAAGCAATTGTAATTCTTGCTGCAGTTGCTATGTAATTTAAATAAATCTGGCATGTTATTTGAAAAAGTCTCTGGCACAATCATGTGGTAGATTTTTCAATCCCGCCCCCAGAAAAACTCAGATGGCCCTCAAGCCTAACCTATGATGATATACTGGAAAAAAAAGGGATAGCGAGCCGCCCCGAGGCTTCGGCGAATGGGGCGGCATAGAAGTCTCCTAAATAAATAAAATAATAAATAAATAAATTTAAAAAAAATAGTCTCATGCTATCTAGTTGCTGTTGAATGTCGTAAACGTTAGTTTACTCGAGGTATATGAATATTGTTTAATCTCTCACATGTTCTGAGTTGGATGGAGGAAAAGTCCCAACTATATTATGCAAGGAAAAGACATCTGACGAAAAGTTGAACGCAGGTTATCCAAGTACCAAGCAATTCCAAGGACTTGTAGCTACTTAGAAACAGAGAAACAGAGCGAGGCAGAAGGGGTCTCCCAGGCCATCTAGTCTGACCCCCGGCTCCAGCCGGCTCTGCTCACGACATGCGGCATTTTAGCATTAGAAATAATGCTTTAACAAAGCTTTGTGTTGCGAAACTGGATGGTCATGGTCGGTATAGCTGGTGAAGGAGATAAGGCTGGGGTGGTAACCCTGAAGACAGTCGCTTGCATCCTGCCGCAGCCCTCGGCAAAGCCCGGAGAAAGCAGTATCAGCTCACCGAGGCTTCAGACACAGTCATGTAACTGCAGCAAAACGCATCAACAGCGGCATCAGAGCTCAGTCACCCAGTTTGAAAGATTTGCACCCCCGTCTAAATGCTCTTCTCTTGGAGGAACAAACATTCCAGGAACTCCCCAACAGGAGAAAGATTTTGTGCACAAATCTGGGGGAGAAGGCATTATTCCACAAAGTCGGCTCATTTGGGCAAAATACCATGCCCTGTTACAAGTGAGTTACAGGTTTGGACCAAGGTATGTCGCAAATACTCCCCATTCAAGTGGGTTTTGCTCATTGTACAATGAGCAATAAATGGCATTGCTTTTGCTTACTCGTATAAACAGTCCTGAGATGGATGCGAGAGTAGCTGCAATTCCCCACCATCTTGTGGCCCTGCGCTGCACTGACTCCAACCTGGCTATATCCTTCCTGTAACAAGGGGCCCAGAACTGAGCACAATACTCCAGTTGCAGGCGCACCAGAGTCATACAGAGTGGTAGTAATACCTCTCTTGATCCAGAAGCCACACTTCTGGCTATGCAACCAAGGGTGGTGTTCGCCCTCTTGACCACCGCATCACACGGCTGGCTCATGTTCAGCCTGCAGTCGACCAGCACCCCAAGGTCCCTTTCACAAGTGCTGCTCTCCAGCCACTTGTCCCCTAACCTGTACTTATTTATTTATTGAAAACATTTCTATGCCGCCCCCATCGCAACAAAGCCTTGGGGCGGCTCACAACAAAAACAAAAACATACAACTTATGACACCTATTCCTATGCCCCAAGTGCAAGACCTTGCACTTATCCTTCTGGATCTGGAGTCCCTGTTCCTCAGTTGTGGCCACTGCCCCGGTTTTAGTATCCTCTGCGAATTTGATCAGAGAATGGGAGCATACAAAACTTGGTAGGGGAAAGGGGCCAGAGAAAGGAGTGTCAGATTGGGACCCCAAGCGTGTCAAATTTGGCCTCATGCCTGATGTTTGACAGCAGACAAAGAATTAACACCTAAAATGCCCGGGCACGGAGCCACTGGGCTCGGCAAGTCCAGGGCTGTGACCTTGTGTGGCTCCGTACAACGTTAGAAACCTCATCCCCAGAATTCCTGCAGTCAAGAATCGCCCAGAGTTCTTGAACAACCCCAAATCACATGGCAGTGTTTTTGGGGGAAACCAATCAAGCTTCCGAAACTCCTACAGGTATTAACAAGTTGCTTGACTCAGCCTGTTGATGAGCAAGAACTGACTCTCTGTTCTGGCTGAGCCCGCTGTTTGGCCAAGAGAAACGAGCAAACCAAATGCTTAAAATTGCCAGTTCTCCTGCGTTATATAGGGATTGCCCCACATTCGGCGCTACTCCCAAATCAATCTACTTTCTGAATAGATAGAAGACAGTTTTCCATGTTCTCAGTTTGAAACATTGGTACTATATTGCTGCTTGTTTTTGCTGATGCTCTATCTTTTTAAGTAAAGATCTTGTTTTGACGTTTATTGGGCAATATGATGCAACGGCCGAGTTGTTGGATTTAGGCCAAGGGTATCCAGGTTCAACTGTCTAGCTTCCTCTCTCTCTCTCTCCCCTACACACATCCATTGCTGCTGTTTCATGCAGGCAAGTCACCTCCACCTTATGGCGGCAACCCTATCAATGAATGACTTCGAAAATATCCAGTCCTTGAGATTACAAGGACTGAGCAGCACTTTCAATGCACATTGTGCTTCTCCGGACCATTCTCTGAAAGCATCTATTCGCTTCTTGCCAGCTTTTTTCACTGTCCTACTTTCACATGCATCCATCGTGACTGGGAATACAAGTATGTGCATGATCTCGGCTTTGTTCTCTACTGAAATGCCCTTTACACTTCATCTTTTCTGATTCCTTCATAGCTGCCCTTCCAAGTTTCCATTTTCTTCAGATTTCTTGGCTGAAGTTTCCATTTGTATTGACGACGATCCAACATCTTTCAGAATGTCAGTTTCTTCACTGCTGACCTTAAAGTTGACTTCCGCTGTAGTCATACA